GTAGTAGTAGAAGTGGGAGGCTCCACTCACCCACCTGGACCCTTCTGTGAATGCATAGAAGCGTCACACGAGTGAACCGGTAGTAGTAGAAGTGGGAGGCTCCACTCACCCACCTGGACCCTTCTGTGAATGCATAGAAGCGTCACACGAGTGAACCGGTAGTAAAAAATTTGGAAACCCACCACTGGTTCAGTGCCATGGTAACTTTGAATGGTCATTGAATGAGTGTAGATTAAATGAAGATCATCTGCATACCCTTTCATTAGCAAAAGTGATTTACATTAACATTTAGCTTGTCTATTTACAGAATTTATAAACGGCCAAACTCGTGACATTGAAATCTCAGCAGTGTACATCAATTTAAAACCCAAACAATCAGAACTCCACCAATATAAAAACAAAATAAAAACAAAACTATTACAGAGGCTGACTGCAAGATATTCTCTCTCCCAACAGAACAAATGTATTATTTGTATTATTATTTGTATTATTTATATTATTGTATGTATGTAAAATGTAATTACTTGTATAAATGTAATTACTGACTTGCCCAGGGCATAGAAGAGTCTGGTTTTCATGGGTCCACGAAAGGCTAATAGGTCAGGGTCACCTGCATCTCTGGAAAAGTTAATTCTAAAAGGTAGACTCAGCAACCAAGTAGACACCTTTAAAAAGCCCATCAGTTGACCCTTCTTGGAAAAAAAGGCAGTTGGAGCATGCCCACTCTATACAGCCTCTTGGAATGGGTACTAACTAGAGATAGGCAAATAACACAGCCCTGTGCAATGAAGTGCTTTATTAGCCATTAGCACCTTGAATTGTACCCCAAAACCAACCTGGAGCCAGTGGAACTCATTGGCAAAACATGAAAGGGGACATTTCCCTGATCAGTCCTCTATGCATCCAAATGTCCAAACCAGGTGTTATGTTGCACAAAGATAAGGACAAATAGGTAGAACCTCTCTTTGTGGAAGTTAATTGAACCTCTAGCCTTAACTGCAAGCAATAGGGGCAAGCAAGAAACAAGATTTTAAAATTATTTGTGTAGTACCTTGTGAAGAAAATGGTAGCCTCAGCATCAGTAGTTTGCGGCTGAAGAGCATCTTGGACATATTTGAGATCTTGAATTCCAGAAAGTTCTGGCAAGCCAGAAGACATCATCTGTAAAATTAATAGATACTGTAGTTTTTTCAGTAAGAAAAAGTACAATACTTACTTGTACGTAAACAAGCATTTATTTTTTTTAAAAAGCTTTCCAGTTTACTGGTATGCATGCTATTCAGAACTTTAAATTGAAATTAAGTATGCACACAGTTGTGTTCTTTGTTTTAAAAGACAGCCTATTTGTTAACATCAGTGACACATAGAAATATTACCAGTGACAGCAGATTAAGGAAAAGGTTGGCTTGTTTTCTGATTAGATTATAAGCTTGACAGCAGAGATCAACGAACAGCTGGAAACGAATTGTGGGCTTTTCTCCACCATTGATAACGTAAGCCATATCTGATGTCAGCACAAAAGGAGCCCGATCCCTTTCAAATAATAGAAAATAAGAATTTGTTTTTTAATACTGCATCCTGCATGTAGCCATGCATGACATTTTTTAAAATTGAGAAACACTCAAACTGAGGTAAAAGATAAAATGTATAACTGAGGTACTTTGCAAAGATAAAATGTATAACTTGTTTCTACACACATATGAAAATCAACAGCAAATACAAGTCAATCTCAAGGAACAGATTTTTTAAAAGATGTTTCCAAATAACATGTGAATCATTTGATACCTCAGATGTTGGAATTTCTTCATGTTCTAAAACAACATTTGGCTAAAGATAGTTTACCAAAAACCTATACCCCACCCTAGTTTAGGGAATTTGTGAAGCAAGGCAAAAATATTTGCTTGTTCAAACTGCTGGTAGGAAGCACTGCTATAAATGTACATCATTACTTAGCAAATCTGGCTTTTATGGTTTAATACTTTTGATTCCCAATTGACCAGAGATGCTTCAGGAAAAAAGCTCCCATTTTAATACAAAGCATTGCAGAACAAAACTTAAACTATAAAACCAGTGGTTAACATTATAGAAACAACAAATTCCTTTACTTTTCAAATATTTCATAACAGAAAAATCACAACTTGACACCTTCCATGTGCTAGAAACAAGAGTTAACACAATATGACAAAAGTTACAGCCATTATGTTTTTCAAGATGATGTATTATAATTGCAAGATCTACCATGTTTTCAAATTACTATGGTGGAACCTTTTAATTTCCTCATAGTTTCATACCTCTTAAAGCTTCCAAACATCTGAGCATGGCCTAAGAATTTTCCAAAATCAATATGAAACATATGTCCTGTACTTCGAAGCATTATGTTATCATTGTGGCGATCACAGATACCTAGAACATAAGTAGCCACACAACATCCAGCACAGGAATAGATGAAATTTTCAGAAGCCTAAAATGGACAGAATTAAATATATTTTCACTATAAAATTTGAAGAAAAGCACCTTGTTTAGTATTCAGAGATCAGCGGCAATAGCAGAAACATTTTGAAGGACAATATAATTCAGAATGTTTAAAAATTATGATTAAAAATCAGTTCTTTGGAAAATATCATTAACCAGATAACATAATTACTTGATTTAAAATCCTAGTTTAGATAAATGAAAAATAAAAAATCTTAGGAGCTAGTTTTCCACGCAAGTGGAGAGGCAAAGTTTTAAAATCACCTGTCTGTGATTTACCAAGCATTGAACATGTCATTTAAATGCAAGATTCCCATTACTTCCAGGTATCAAAGATGCAACTTGGAATTGTCATGCCAGTGACCTACTTAAGCTAGCATTCTCCTGTACTTAATTATTAAATATGATACGTGAATGAGTCCCAGATAGTGCTAGCTCACAGCAGATAACATATTACTATTATCATTCTCATAAGTTCCTATTTGGAAATTGTAATTAGTTTACCTTTTCATATTCTTCTTCTGTAGAGTTGTATTTTCTTAGCCATTCTGCAAGAGGCTTATCTTTAAAGGATCCTGTCACTCCATACTCCACTTGAATTTTCCTAAGAGTATCTGAAGCTGGAACAAGTTCTACCATTCCTTTAAATTAATCAGCAAAAGTTAATGAGTATTAAAAAAATCTATAACATATATTACTATGTATTACATAAAAATGTTTAACTTAAAACCATTAAAAAGGTTTTTAAATCCAAATTGCTTGCCAATATGGACTATTATACTATTCTTTGCATTTAAAATGCTAAATACTACTACACTGTCAAATAATTCAACAATTCAGATTAAAAATTGTTACTTTACAAAACCCCCACAAATGCTCTCTTATTCTTAAATCAACAAAAAAATGGAACAATGTTTCCTTTAAATTGAGCTGTTGACTATAGACTTTAGTTTCCCTGGAAAGCATGGACGTATTTTATCACTGTGATCTTATGAGACTTTTTTTTCCAATTTCCAAGCCTACAGTCTGGGATTCCCCAAGGTCTCCCATTCAAAGCCTATGTTTTTGGAAGTCAGCCATCAGTTAGCTGCTGCCACCTGCTGTAGACAAATCAACTTAATATTTAACAAGGATAAAAAAAAAGGAACCATTCTTCAACATTCTGTATACTAGTAGCTGACTTCTTACAGTGTTCTAGAACAGCAGATGGATTTTGCAAATATATTAGGCAGTTCAATTAATGCTGATTGTTTTTATGGCTATTGTATTTTGGGCTGTTTAGCAAATATGTGGTATCTGAGAAAACAGGCTTTACAATAATGGTGTTGGGTCTGCCATTCTTGCCAGAAAGATAATACAAGACAAGAAATTAAAGCTCTACCTCTATCTTTGCCAGTGGCCAGGCACTTGAACATAACCATCCTTAAATCCAGTCCTTCCTGTAACCAGATCTTATCCATGATTTTTATCATTTGCAACGCCAACATATCCTGGCGCAGATCTTCTCCAACCTAAGAAAAAACAAAAGTTGCAAATGAGAGAAAGGAATGTTATCAAGACAGATTCAATGAAGGTCGGTTCTGCCCATTTTGTTATACATTAACCCAACACCAGAAACTGATCTGGGATACTTAATTAATGTTTCTTTACTAGTATTCCCTGAAGTCTCCNAAGTGATGGAGATGAAATGGAAGAAGAGAGTGTATAGAGCACTGCTGGAGGACAATAAAGAATAAATGCAACCAACCAGAGCTGCTCTTACGACATACTTTATCATGGTAAGGTTGGTGAAAGGAATATTTCTGCACATTTATTGCATCTATAGGTAGCCATTAGCAGCACTTCTGGAGAAAGTGCAGTTGGTGATTACTTGTAAGGTTCCTATGAAAAATGCTAGGTAACTGCTGGATAAAATTACCCAAATTCAGTCTATTTTAGGACTCAATGCTTGAGGCAGGTCCATAGAAATGACTAAGGCTGAGCCTGGCTTGATTTTGAATGAACAAAGATTTCAAGAACAAAGGTTCTTGAAATTGTAAGGTTGACCATATATTTGTTAAATCCCTGTCCTTGTGGTTAGCTAAGGCTTCCTAGGAGATGGCTTGTGGATGGTGTTTGACAGTAGTGAATGTTTCCTTGAGAGAAGGTGTGGCCTCATTGACACTTAAGTAGGTAAGGAGGAAATGGTTTGCTCTCTCAACAAGAAGCCATTGCTGGATCCAACCATGCTGGATAATTTTCATCCTGGCTCCAATTGTTCCTTTTAGGGAAATTTGTTTAAAAGATGGTTGCACTGCACTTTCAATGAACTCTGAGGGAAGAAGATTATCTGGACTCTTTCCAGTTGAATTTCAACTCAAATACAGGACTGAAGTAGCATTAATTTCATTTGTAGACAACCTCTGACATGAGCTTTTTCTATTGGTTTCATCTATATTTGTTACCACTTGTGTCTATAAAACTTAATTTTAGTAGTCACCTGACTTTACCTCAAAAACCACATGTTATGTGGGGCTCATACACTAAAGTCTTCCAGGGTTAATCATCCTGCATTTTTCTATCCTCTCTCCCATCTTGTTCTCACTACAGAAAATACATGAAAGAGGCAATGGCTCTTTTAGCTTTGGTTAAACATGTCATGAGGAGGCAGCCTTTATCAATCCTGCAGTTTGAAATGCAGATCATGTGGCCCTTTGAGGGGCAGCCTGAGATATAGCCTCACATGTATTTGTTCATCTTTTAGCAGCAGAGCAATGGAGAGGAAACCTGCTGATAAGAGCAGCAGGGAATGCAGGGGACATGGGGTTCCTGGTAGACTTACAAAAGAGGTGGTGGCAGCAAAAGAAATATAACTTAATGGCCATTTGCTTTTAGAGACCATTTGAAGTTACAATAGATCTCCTAAGACACTTATGACCCAATTTTGAAGTTCTTATGGCCACATCCCCACAGACACATGATCACATCTTGGGAGCTTGGCAACTGGCTTTTGAATTTATGACTGCTTCCCATTGCCACATGACTGCAATTTTCAATGTTTTTTCCCCCCAGTTTCCAGTGTTTACTTCAAGTTTCTGGGGGGGAAAAACTAAACCTTCCATTGGGTATAATAGGAGTTTTTTTTAATGCCTGAGGCGTTTGCTTCAAAGCTGACACAAAAAGTTGTAAAAATTGGGCAAAATTAAATTGGCAGTGATCAACTTAACAACTGCCATGACTTGTAACTGTAATTTGGGACTCTATTAGGGTTGTAAGAGTACTCCCTATACACAGTAGTCAATGAGGCAAAGGATACTGCAAA